ACAAATAACTAATGAAAATTAACAACTCTCAGCCCAATTGGCACTTTGAAGTCTTTTGATATTTGGCACGGCTACATCCACAAATGTTTGTCTTCAACATTTAGGAATAAAAGGTATTTTCCAACAAATGACTCTGATACCAAACAAGAGGAGAACACAAACGGAATTAAATGGCATGTCATATTTATTAGCCACTTAATATTTGGACATAATCCACATCAATGGCATAGATACATGGCCTAAACAAATACTTGAAAGTATATCCAAGGCTGTCACACTTCAGTCCAGTTAGGAACCACACTACGAAAAGACGACCCAAGTCTAGATTCTTCATTTTCCTTCTCCATAGCACAAATTTCTAGCCTAGAAGTTGTAGCTCTTTTGGCTCAGATCTTAGTCTTTGGATATACAAATTGTATTGGTCCCTTCACCAAATGGGACGTCTCTTGGGACTTTACTAGTAGCCATCCAGCTTGCCCCATCAACCCAAGTCCATAACATCTCAAATACAAGCATTCCATCGGTGTTTTCATGGGTGAGTGTGCTGGCAAGACTCTGCCTGGATTGGGAAGGGTCCTGTATGAGTGGGACTTCTGGTGCCTGTCTTGCTGAATATTTTTCTAGTTCAAACTTGTACTGAAAGCCAAGGTAGCTATACCTATTCCGAAAGAATGAAACCTCAATGAAATGAAACTCATCCAGCAGTCAGGGAGTCAAGGGATTTCCGTGTTACAGCCACAGACTGAAATTCAATATTGCCAAAGTCAGAAATGGGCGAAGAATGTAAACCAGAGGCAATTCCCCAAAACCAAGGAGCACAACCTCTTCTCCAGAGTGGATGACATTAGGAACAGGGTGTCAGAATCTAACTGCTGAGACACTAATTACAGCTTCTTCTCCCTTCGTGGTTTCTGCCATAGTGGGTGGGTTCGTGCTTGGAGCAGTTCACTTCACTGTAACCCAAAACTTAGCAATCTTAATCACCTTCCTGTGTCCCAGCTTCAAAACCTACACTCTCCCCAGGGCTTCTGCTTCTCTCTCACAGAACTTGTCCTGCTGCTGGGGTTTTGTTTGTTTGTTTTCACCTGGTGTCTCTAGAAACCTAGTTATTCCTGCCAAATAGGTTAGAACTCAACAGTGCAGGTATCGAAATAGACTAAGACCAGTGAGTAAGTTGTGTGGTTGAAATCCTTCAGGATCCTAGGAACAATGAGTGAATAACTTATTCCGTCACCTCATGCTCAGTTTTGCCAAGATAGTTACTGCAGCCCATTCCCAAATATTGTTAAACAATGTCTATTCATTTGTTAAAGGAAACACCAACCACCTCTGAGTTTTATGGCTTCCTGTACTTCCATCTGCAAACTATCTCTGCATAGTTAAAATACAGTGGTTAAATTTTGATAAATTCTGAGTTCTTAATTTTGATAAATTCTGAGTATAATCTATGTATAGATGCACTGCATCTTTACAAGCTCTTGCATAGTATAAGTAATTTCTTGGTTATGTTGTTACAGTTACAGTGAAAATATCTAGTGTTTCTCCTGTGCCATTCAAATGACATTAGGATTTAGGAGAAATAATTGCATGTGATTTCCTTAATAGAAAGATATGCTCCTTTTAGTCTTTATAAGTATATTGCAATTTTGCTTAAAAGAGGAAAATATCTCCTTTGTTACAGACAACCAGCCTCCAGTGCTTGAAACATTTCAGGGTATGCTACAGACTTTTTATGGAGAAGATTTTGTATATCAGTTTTTGGCTTCAGATCCAGAGGGCTCTGCTGTTCATTTCACATTGGATTCTGGTCCAGAAGGTGCCAGTCTTTCCCCATCAGGTCTCCTTCTGTGGAAAGCTGTGTCAATGAATCTCCATAAATTAACATTTTCTTTGACAGATGACTGCAATGCAAAGACTAAGGTAGAAATAGAGGTAATGAATATTACAGTAAAATGGCACCTACTAGTAAGATTTTTAAGATATCTAATTACAAAACTCATTGCTAGTTCATTAAAAAAAGAAAACTGTCTTATTGGGCATGTCTTGTAGGTCAGTGTAAAATCGTGTGATTGCCTAAATAATGGCTCATGTGTGACAAACATTAATTTCCCACCTGGAAGTGGAAGATATCTTTGTGTGTGTGTGGCTGGATTTGAAGGTGATCTCTGTCAAGTGAATACTGATGACTGTAAACTTAACCAGTGTGGTATTGGCAGATGTGTGGATGGAATAAACAGCTATTACTGTGAATGTCCACCTGAACTTCAAGGTAAATTGCTACTTTATTTACACACATTTATCACGTTTAGTGATAAATAGGAGTTTCTAACTTTATGTCTACAATTTTTTTTTTTAATTTTTGACTGTAAATAGCTTCCTGTTAGAGTATGAAGAAATTTTATGGTCTTATGCTAAAGTTATATGATATACTTTAAGATTTTTCTTGCACAAATACAATGGTTGTTTATATTATGAGAGAAAATTTCCATTGTTTTCCTCCGCAGAGGTAAACTCAGCAACATGATGAAACATAGGAATGATGAGTTTGGTTACAGTGTGATTCCTCCTATGCTTGCAGATAAACATGTAGTCCCCATAGCCCATCTTCTCCATATTCCCGCAATAAGCAAGATACTTGATATAAGATCAAAAAATGTGAATAGCAAACCTAGTCAGCTGTACTTGTTAGATGTACTGAAATACTTTGTTGCACTTGATAGATGCCCTTTTTGTCTGTCAGCACCTGCATACATTCCGCTTTTATCTTTTATAAACACACTGTCAAAGTCTAGTGACACCATATCACTAAAAAAAAATAATGTATTTCAATGCAGGTAAAAATTGTCAAGATGATGTAGATGAATGTGTATCCAGTCCTTGCTTCCCTGGAGTATTTTGCTTCAATACTTTTGGTTCTTACTATTGTGGTCCATGCCCAAGTAATCTGCAAGGAGATGGGAAGTCATGTTACGGTAAAATTATTTGTTTTTCAGAAGAATGATATTATCTTACTGTCATTCAGATAAAATATCTTTGGTTGTGCTTCATGTTCCTAACAGTAACTTAGAACTCTTTTCAGTAGTCAGCAGAACAGGACTGTCTCTCTGACTGTTGATGGCTGGGACAGAGTCTCAGCTGATGACAACATAGTTGTAAAACACTGTCAGGTGACTAGAAAAAATAAATACAAAATACTCCAATTCTTTTATATCAAAGTAGAATACAATGAAATGTATTGTTTTTCTGCATTATTTTCATAATATGAGCAATTATTGACAAAATATTTTTCTATTAGATTGCTTAACATAGAACTATTTACCCAAATCAAGGCACTTGCCAAATAAGGTGCCCAAACATTTATTTACAATGCAGTTACTGAATAACTTGTATTTTTAAAATACTCTACTGAAAACTTTTAAGATACAATTTTTACTTTTTATCATCTTTCTGAATTTTGAGTTATTTGTATGTACTAAAACTTTAACTCTGTAATTTATTTGCAGTTGAAACAAAAGTAACTACTAATGTGCCTTCACATCTTTTGTTTTTAGAAAGCTTTGAAGACACTAATGTTGAAAGAAAGGATTCCAGAGGAGAAATTGGAGGGAATAAAGGTGATTTTTTCATGAAGAAAATGGAATTTCTGATTCACATACTGATAAGAATATAGCTGGCAAATAAAGGTTCTAGTCAGTTTTATGTTATTCACTTTAATTTTTCAGTTTGACTCAATTTAATTCATTACTGGGGTTGTATTCTGATCTGAAAAATGAGACTGAAATGTCAATATCAACAAATCCCTTAGGTCAGTCAAGTCATTTTATTGACAGGGTGATGTATGACATTCTTACTGTTGCCTTTTGTTTTTGTGACCAACCACTGACATAAAACAGGTAACATGGGGATAGGGACATCTGTTATGAGATAAGCAAAAGTTTATGGCATTATGTTGAATGACATTTTCCTACTTTAACTCAAAGGAAAGGTGAAGGATATGGCAAGTGAATGTCTTAATTCCAAAACTCCGTAAACGCTGTTGCTGGCATTTCCAGCTCTGTGCCTGCTGGGGCTTTCTTTGCAGGAAATTCTCGTGTGTCTTTTCTCTTTATCTCTGAATTGTTAGTGGGGGAGGAGGAGGAGAACTCTCTCACTCCACTGCCAGTACTGGATAATTCTTCATCAGCTGCAAAATGGTTTGCTTTTCAGCAGTGGGAGATAGCACTCTGTAATAAGATTCAGTAAAGTTTAACCTTTTGTAGACCATTTTCTAGTACCGTTCTAAATGGGGTTAGGGACGGAGCTTAAGTTAGGTTGGATAATCTCCTCCAGTTTCATTCCTCCTCTGCCCCATAATGCTAAAAGCCCATATACGGCATTCTGCCATTCTGGGATTACAGTGCCATACTCCTTTCCACAACCCACCAGACCACCCGCTTTTCCTGGGCAGAATATGAAGAACTTTTCGTTCACTTTGCAATCCTTTCAACGAGGAGGCTGAGTCAGTCTCTGTTGTTTATAAAACACATGAAACATCCCACTAATAAAACCTATGCAGAAACTTTAAGAAAGTTGATTTAAAAAGTTTGGAGACTAAAACATGGTAATACTCTTGCTACAAGGTGGTGGATTATTCACCTAAAATACTGTCCATAGTGCATCAGTAAGTATAAGCATGTGCGTACTTGTGATTAAATATCTGCTTCTAGACTCTAGGCTTATTACTAGCACTTAGACACACTGGTGAACCATAAGCAGTATCTTTTCTTTAAACTCTGTTTCAGTTATCTAGTTGGATGCTGGTAATGAGCTGGTAAGGTAATAATGCTAGTATAAGGAGCTGGTAATTTGCTCTGACAGTAAAGCTGTTTATTGACCCAGTATGGGAAAATCTTTGCTGTCTGCCTTATATATATGGTGCTTTCTCCTTATCTTCCAGCCAAGAAAAGGCCATGGTGAGGGTGGGAAAGGATGTAGCCAGAATACCTTGATCTTCTCCAATTCTGCTAATTAGGAGTTAGGTTCTACTGCATACATATATTCTGATGTAGCACATGGAGAGACTTCCCGAAGCACAGCATGAATGGGCTGTACGTTTTTCTGTTCAGAAGACATTCCCCACGCTCAGAAGGAAAAAAAAAAAAAAGCCTCATAATATTCCTGTACTTTTTCCCCCCTTTCTTTCTAACATGCTGTAGGTTTTCAACAGTCGTCCTTTGAGAAGGTTTTAAGCATCTCAAGCTATATTCCCAGATCTACAGATGTCCCCGGGAGATTTATTTCTACAGAAATTGTCAGTAGCAGCACTCCACCAGCCTCCACAGTAAAAACAATCACCGCTTGGAAGTCACTTAATTCTCAGAGAAGTGGTTCTGTACAATCTGCTGTTACTGGAAACATTGCTCATGCTGGCAGCACCATCAGTGGTCACCTTGCTAACATGGAAGAGAGTTCTTCAGTATGTGCTGTGATGACTGCCTCTTCAAGGAGCCATGCTGTATCACCTGAGAAGAAAACAAGGGCACAAGTTGAGGCCTACAGCTATTTTGAGACCAGCAGGAAGACTTCTCCTAGCAGCAGAACAAGTATAAGCAAAGGGCTTTCTTTGCCAAGCAAAGTATTCAAAGGTGGAAATGCTCACAGAGTTCATCACCTATTAGCCAAGCATAAAGCGAGTCCTTTACCGTTTGTCCTTGTTGAAGTCACGGTCGCACCAAAAATGCTTCCTGAAGAATTGAGTGAAATAGTGATTCCTAAAGCAGTAACCTGTACTGATTTACCCTGTTTTCCTGGTGTACCTTGTGAGCCAAGTCAGGATGGAAGCGTCAAGTGCGGTCGTTGTCCTTATGGTTATTACGGAGATGGCTTCACTTGCAGAGGTATTACAAATAACTGCACTACATGCTTTGCAGAAAAGAATCTTGTGACATCTTTATAACTTGAAAGTACATTGCTAACTGTGTGATCAGTGAAATGCAGAGAGTATTGAATTTTCTCATTTTCATTATTAATATTGGCATAGCCTACAAGCTTTTAGTTGTATGGATGCACTTAAAAATATTTTTCTGATGTGTCTCAGGCTCCCTACTTACAGGCAGGGACCTAATGGATTCTATGTAGTCTGTTCATTATGTTAGGCAAGACACAGTTGTGCTGAAATGCCACTTTCATTTTCCTTATTCTTTTCTTTGTTTTCTTCATTGCCTTTCAGCAAGATGTAGACAAACATGTGGCAAAAATATGGAGTGTGTGGCACCCAATACTTGCAAATGCAAGCCTGGTTATGCTGGTTATAACTGTCAGGCTGGTGAGTATGGCATTTTGATTTAGCCTGTGGTAACTCACGTCCACAACTTAATGATTTGAAGATCACTGTTGATTTTTTCCACAGCTGTATGCAGACCTGATTGCAAAAACCATGGGAAGTGCATTAAGCCCAATGTCTGTGAATGTCTACCAGGATACAGTGGCTCCGCTTGTGAGGAAGGTAAATAGAATATATTTTGCTTTTGAATCCATAAATACCTTCCATGACTGTTCATTCTGACAGCAAAGAGGTGCGTTCGTTTTACTTTAACGGAACTCTTTGAGTAACATGTTGTTATATACTCTACTTTTTTTATATACACTGTAAATGTTGCTTGTGATTGGATATTCCTAAATTTAGCTTTCACAGTAAGTAGAGGAGTTCATCAGTGAATGTAGATGCCTCTAAGCTAAACAATCCCGAAGAGTGGGAAGTCCTGTTTGGAAATTGTCTCAGATTTCTTTTCTTCAGGGTGACCACCACTGTTGGACTCTGTGTACTCTGTTGGAATTAAGTTCTTATTACTTATTCTTGTCAAAAGGCATTGCATATGTCTCCTTATTTTATTTCCAGTTCTTTGCTCGTTATCAATTATTAACATTTCTCTTTTTCTAAAGCATAACCAATCCATGCATCTTTTTAGAGGTGATTTGTTGAACAACATAATTCTATATCTGCAGCACATTGTAAACCACCCTGTCAAAATGGAGGCACATGCTTGGCCAGAAATCTCTGCACCTGCCCATATGGTTTTGTGGGACCAAGATGTGATACAAGTAAGCAAAAAGGCATAAGGGAAGAATACGGAACATTTCTCCTGTTCTTCAGGAGCAGGAAAACAAATTATGGTTTACACTTTTGATGCATTGTCTAATGCTAGCAAATGACATAATACCTGTGGCCCTTTGAAGGCTCCCATCCTTGGGCTTTTCAAACGTTAGTTAGATCGTATTTGCACGTAACTTTGAAAACATAACGTATTATAACAATTGCAAATAGTTTATCTTTTATGATTCATGAACGTGGAAACATTGAGTACATTGCGCGTGTGATACTACCTTCAGAACACACACAGATGTTTATAATGTCATTACAGCTTTTTAACTTCTATCACCTTAAATTGGTGAGGCGCTGGGGTACATTCAGAAGTTGGTATCAGTGAATGGCAGGTCAGAAAAACAGGGATACAGGAAAACTGAAACCAGGACATGTTTATATATCATTCACCTGAATGTGCCACTGCATTATTGACCCTGAATTGAGAAATTCCTTTGTTTGTCTCCTCCTCAAATCCCAGGACTCTTCATTCTCAGTTTTTCTTGTTCTAGTTTCAATTGTGACACAAAAAAAAATTACTGTTCTTTGTTATAGCAGTACTAAAGAGAATGAGATGTTGTCCTGAAGAATTGATTCATGGTTTTCCACAGCCATGATATTTTAATGTCTTTGTTTGTTAGTCTTGTGTCACTCTATGCATGCAGCTGCACTTGCTGAAGTGACAGAGGACACTTCAGTGAACTTTCTTGGAGTCCATCAAATCCATCATGTAACATGGTCCATTTGTCTCTTGGTATTGAATTTCCCTTTTTTTTTTTTAGAATTTATTTGAAATTTTCTAGATTTTTAACACTGAGTATAACCAGACCATGGATAATTACATGGAAAGACATTTTATTTATGTTTATAGTCTGGTGCTAGCTTTTTATGGCTTTGAGACTGGATAAATCTATTCAGCTATTCCTCTTCAGCTAGTGGAATTGTATGTTATTTCCAGTGTTAATGTTTGGGAAAGAACTGAAAAATGAATCAAGCATAATTTGTAACATATCTGTTTCTCTTTATCCCCCCACACCCCCCCGCCCCCGTCTCCTCCATCCCTCTTCTCCTTTGTTTTTGCCCGACTTCTTGGATGGTAGTGGTTTGCAACAGACACTGTGAAAATGGTGGTGAATGTCTTACTCCAGACATCTGCCAGTGTAAACCTGGGTGGTACGGACCTACATGCAGTACAGGTAACGCTCCTGCAACTTCCATGTTCCTGGGAGAGCGGACGTAGGACCTCCCATAGTTTGAAATTTGGAACCACATGGCTCAGACAGCAGCAATGGGCAGCTGCTTACTGCCGCAGAGCCCCCGCACTCCCTGTTGTCTCTGCATGTTAGTTCTGCTGCCGGCAGCGCCTTTAGAAAGTCTAATACTGATCCTAAAGTTTTGGGTGAAGATTTTATGTGAATGGTGTTACGTGCAGTTATCTTAGGTGTTTAATTCCTGTCCTTGCAACAGAAGCACGTATTTTATAGACTTTATTTGGATGTCATGCTTCCCACTCTTCCTGACCCTGTTTCTGCAGCAATGTGTGACCCTGTCTGTCTCAATGGTGGTTCCTGTACTAAGCCAGATGTTTGCCTCTGTCCACATGGATTCTTTGGTGCCCAGTGTCAGAATGGTAATCTTTTTTTTTTCCTTCCTTTTTTTTCCCCCTCCCCTTTTAGCTGCCATTATGAGTAAATCTGTGAGAAAACACTGTTGTCTTGAGACACAAAATTCACAATCAAGTCATGTACCTGAGAAGTGGTGCAAAACAGAGATTACACTATTTTTTAGATTTTATGGCTGATTCACTGAATGTCCAAGGAGAAGGGAGACTCAAAATTTGCCTTGTCTTCCACTCAACTTTTGAGCAGTGTTCAACCAGTTCCATTGTATATTATGTAGCCCGGTTACTCGTGTACATGTACAGCTGCCAACCTTGACCCCTTTTTATCTGATTTTGTCTTTACTATTGACGTAGGCACCAATCCACATTGATACGATTTTTATGAGACAGACCTGACAGTGCTGAATATCTATATGAGCTATCAGAATTTTAGTGTTGCACTCTTGTTTCCTAGAAGTATATCGCTAAGTCAAACAAAATGCAAACTACAGCCTTTTCCTCCTGTTTGTATCTTTTAGCTGTCTGCAGCCCGCCTTGTAAGAATGGTGGTCACTGCATGAGAAATAATGTCTGTACTTGTCCTGATGGGTACACAGGCAGAAGATGTGAAAAAAGTAAGGCGGTGTTAAAATCCCTCCAGGATCTGAAAGTAACGAATAAATTATTTTGTAATCAGTTAAATGTATTAAACAGCAGATGTTTTTGATTTTAAGGTGTCTGTGAACCAAGGTGCATGAATGGAGGAAGGTGTGTAGGACCAAATATTTGCTCTTGTCCTTCAGGATGGAGAGGAAAAAGATGCAACACTCGTAAGTATCTTGTAGTTAACAGGAGGACCATACCTTAAAAGTAATATATGACTAAAGGACAACTCTGTCCACACAAGTAATATGGAGTTAATGCCAAAGAAATCAAGAATATACGCACATTGAAAAAATAATGGTCTATAACTTGGCAGCAAAATTTAGGATGGAGAACTAATACCATATAGTTCTTAGGCTAAATCATGAGACCAAAATATCTTTTAAATTCTTGTATAGCAAGTAATATATGTTTCTTTCTTAATTCTTGTCTAAATAAGACATCTGTATTTCTGCAAAGAGCTGAGTCAATGAAGTGAAAGAATTTCAATTTGTGCTGCAGCACATAAAAGCAGATATAATAGAAAAAGAAGTACAGTGAAAGATTGGAAAACTGTGGAAACATAGTGGGAAATGATTGGAATAGAAGATGCAATGGGCACAAGCTCTTTAGGAAAGGTAGAAATAGGACTGTGATGGTGGTATAGCTGTGGGTCACATTGTATCTTAATGAAGATATTGATGATGCATAAATAAAATGTGTCAGCGTGGATAAAAGCACAGCCTGCATGAAAATCAGCATGAGGGTGGGTGGCAGAAATCCAATAGGTAAAAGTGTTAGTGTCTGTCACAGTACCCACCCGAGGCTCAGATATTGATATGGCCAATGAGCTCTCTAATGGCATGGAAGAAAAACAATTTTCCCTGTATTACTTTCTGTAATTATTGGAAAGTTTTATTGCAAAAAAATATTACCCATATTGACAGGGGTGAGATATTCTTGGACACTGTGGAAGAGAAATTTGCCAATGAGAAATAATAGTGATTTAGATTATGGCTTAATAAGCAGGGATGAATGTGCAGAAAAATGGGTCATAGAAAATTACTTCGGATCAAATGTTCATGAGTTGATTCACCGTGTGTTAAATTGTATGATAGACAAAAGATCTCTCACTAAGGTGTGGGTTTTAGAAAGGTAAATTTGCAAAAAACAAAGCTATTTAGTGGTGCTGACTTAATTCAGTATTTCAGGCTTTTGTAGCAATCTGTGATGCATCAGAACATCTCAATGCATGCTTCGGCTGTAGGGTTTTTTGTTAGAAACAAAAAGCTTTTGTTGCTCTCTTCTTTAATATCCTGTTGCCTCTATCTTCAGTTGCCTCTCTTCTTTAATATCCTGTTGATCTTAGATGGATTTTCAGTTATGATGATGTGACTCGTG